GAAAGCTGGTTGAACTTCCTCATAAATGATTCCTCATCTAAATCTCCCTATTAAAAAGCATAGAACTCAACTTCTTTCTCATCTCTAAATGTTGCAGGGAAGTGATAGTTAAACAATCTCTCTCTAAATTGCTCCTAACTAAGCTGACTACTATTAAAGGGTCTTACTGGATGCTACCAATGCTTGGCATCCTCAATCAATTGTACTATGGCCAACACCACTTTCTGCTCAGAGGAACATGGAGTAACATTAAAAATTGTCTCCATCCTCTCTATCCAGTTCTCCGCATCTCCCTCTCTCATACTGCCATTAAAGGTTGGCAGATTTAGCTATGATAAAAAGGTTCTCAAAAGTTAAATTAGAGCTTTGAAACTAGTTTGAAGTTGAACGAAAGAGCTTTAAACCTGTAAGCTCAATTTGGTACTAAGAGAGAGAGAGATTTTAAGGTAAAAATTTAATTTGAGTGAAATAACACATGTTGAGCTAGTGTAAAGTAGTAATCGAGTAGTAACAGACTTAGATCAAATGACTAAAATGTGCCAAATATGTTCAGATTGGCAAATCAAACGTGTGAGTTAAGAAAGGAAGCTTGTGATAAGATATTGTGGTAGTAGAAATCCACAGGTAACCTTTCTTATGATGGAAGGGTGGAGGTAACCGAATAACTTCCTTTGTTTGACTATTTGTTATGACTGTGTGTGAGTATGCTATGTAGTGCATAAAATGGTTTTCAACTAAGCATGATTTATGACATTATGTGAATATTGCATGAGATGACTTTTGACTAGATAAAAGGATTGAAAAATGTGATTTTATATAGTTTGTATATACATACATACATACATACATATATATATATATATATATTTGTGTGTATGTTATGTATGAGAAAACATGTAAAGTGGTAATGAGGAACCTTGAATGGTTCAAAAAGTATGATCGTAGGGGTGGGAGTTCACTCGAGTGGAGAAGTGGTCATAAGATCATATAATATATTCTCCTTAGTGCTCGATGGGGTATGGTATTGGAGAATTATACCTCCTTAGTGCCTTTTAAGGTGTGGTGTTGGAGAAGATCTCCTTAATGCTTGTTGAGGTATAATGTTGGAGATATCAGACTCTTTATTATCTGTGTGATACGGTATTGGAGTCAATGACACCCTATTATGTGTACTGGGGGAAAACATAATCTGAAAGTGAGATAGAACACCTTTAGCTGAGTGATTCTACCACTAAAGGTGAGCTCAAGGCTAATGAGAGTATACATTGGTCTAAGGTGAACCTATAATTTTGTGTCGGGATGATCTAGAGGTTCGGTCGGTGATGATCATGCTATGTAAGGCAATATGTTCTATATATTGTATAAGTGGATAAAAGTGCGAAAACAAGTGTAAAAGTGATGAAATGTTTAATATGAGTGTAGTTTGAAATGAAATAGGTGTTATGTTATATAAAATTGTATATTATGCTTTACTTTCATATTGTTATATGGGATAATCAATAGGAGTGAGTTATTTCGTTACTGAGATTTTTATCTCACCCTTGTGGTTACATTTTACATGACAGAGCAGGGCAAGGAAAGAGAATCTAGACCGACTCGAGTTGTTGAAGCCATATGAACTTAGAGTTTGTGTAATGAATTGAGAACTTAGGTATATGTGTAAATATGACTTGCCATAGGACTGCACGCATGTTTTGAGTAGTGACTTTGTGGAATCTTACCCCAATTGTGTGTATACATGGTGAAATGAATCAAGGGCTAAATATTTGTGTGTGTATATGTTGATTTATTATACATGTTGGTGAATCTTAAGCCCAAGTGAGAAATTATGATGAAATGAGTAATTTGGGGCTAAGATTGTATTGTGAATATGCTATGGACATGATTTTATGTGGATGTGTTCAGAAACTGGCCAAGAGGGCCAAGATGTGTAAAAATATGCTTAATTGTAAACGTGAAAATTGGCCATTAAAGGGTCAAATTAAGATATATGTGTATAATTGTGATATGTTGTGGTTAATTAGGTGTAATAGGTCCTTTTAGACTTGATTCAAAGCCTTGTGTGGTATAATGAGAGAAAGGGATCGATTTGAGTTCTTGGGTGTGCAAAATTTTCAAAAAAAAGTGACTTTTTATTAAATTTTGAATTTCTTAATCTCATGATTAGTGGCTAATTAAGGGAAATGGTAATTAGTATGGGATTAGAGATTTGGATGATTACTTAATGTTTTGACTTATTGGTGTATTGTATGAATAGATATGGGTGATAGGAGTGCATTTCGGATTGAAGCAAGTGCGCATGGTGAGAATAAATCTCACTGTTGGCGCATTGGTCAAACTGAAAGGCATAACTAAAAATTCATAATGACCATACCTAGTTCTGAAAGCTGTCTTGGGTACATCCACTGCACTAACTTTCAACTGATGATACCCTGACCTTAAATCAATCTTAGAAAAAATTGAGGCACTAGCCGATTGATCTAAAAGATCATCTATCCTTGGTAGAGGATACTTGTTCTTTATAGTTACCTTGTTCAGTTGCTGGTAATCGATGCACAGTCGTAAACTGCCTTCTTTCTCGCAAATAATATCGGTGATCCCCAAGGTGATACACTTGGTCTGATGAATCCTTTTTCTAGCAAATCTTCAATCTGGTTCTTTAATTCAGCTAATTCAGATGGTGACATTCTATAAGGAGCCTTTGATATCGGTTTGGTTCTAGGAACCAATTCAATTGAGAACTTAACTTCCCTTTCAGGAGGTAATCCGGTCATTTCTTCTGAAAATACCTTTGGGAACTCACTTACTACCCCAATCTTCTCAATTCCACAATCATACACCGTGCTGGCTATAAAGAATACCATGTAGGCATCACAACCTTGCTGAATCAACTTCGTAGCACTCACTACTAATAGAAACTTAGGTTGCTCTGAAGATTCTATAGCTGCGCACAACACTGGTAAGGAAACTACTCTTTTGGCATAATCAAGCATAGCATTATTTACTACTAGCCAATCCATGCCAATTATCATATCTATTCCTCTCATAGGAATACAAATCAGATCGATCTTGGAAACTTTTTTCTCAAATTGAATCTCCACATTCTGACAAGCTTGACTTGTAATATTAGATGATTTAGAAGGTGTCGTCACTTTAATGAGCATAGACAATTCTTTTAAAGATAATTCCAATCTATCCACAAATTTCTTAGACACAAAAGAATGGGTGGCACCAGAATCAAACAATGCTTTTACTTTGTGACCATTTATAGAAATCATACCTCTAATCAGATTCAGAGATGCTCTGGCCTCTTCTTGTGTAATTGCAAATACATAGCCAGGAACCACTGATCTCTGCTCAGTCCCCTCAACTCTGCCCTCTAGGTATTACTTCACCATATGACCTAATTTACCACACTTGTAACAAGCCCAACATCTTCCTGAATGAGATTTGCTGCATATGTTGCATTGGGGCATCCTTCCAGTACTCAATGTCGAAGTTGGAACATTCGACGCTTGCCTCAAAGACTATAGAGGCCTAATTCTTACACCTCCACCCCTCTGTATTGATCTTCTATGCATAGGTCCAGACTGCGATCCTCGACTAAAACCTTTTCTTATAGAAGAACTGGAACTACTTACACTGAACCCAGTCCTCTTTGAGATTCCACCAGTCGGACCCATAGGAGATGAAAATCTTCCCATACTATCTTATCTCCTTTCAATATCTGCCTATCTACCATGCCTAGCTGCTACCCTCAGCTTGTGGCACATTTCCTTATACATCATCACATCAAGCAGTAATATCTGTTGCCTATACTCGGGTCTCATCTTTTCAAGTAATCCTCAGCTTTCCACTTCGAGTCATTACTATGTTGGAGATATGTAGAATAAGCCGATAAATCATTAAATCTTCTTATAAATTCTTCATCGTCCAGGTCTCCCTGCTTGAAAGCATGAAATTCCTCTTCTTTCTTAGTTCTGAATGAAACTGGAAAGTGTTGATTAAAGAACATTCTCTTGAATTCATCCCAGTTCAAACGAACACCACCAGTTGGTCTCACAGATTCCTACCATCTCTTAGTAGCACTAACCAACTGCATCGTGGCCAAGATAAATTTCTATTCTGAAGTACAGATCACCACCTCAAAGATGGTTTCCATTCATTCTATCCATAATTCTGCTTTACCTTCCCTCATACTTCCATCAAATGTTGGCAGATTGAACAAACAAATATCTTCCAAGCATGATCAATAGATGGATCAGTGCTAGGAATCTCTAGTCCACTACCTGAATTTTGAGATGGTCTAGGTCTACTATGCGCTTCCTGTATTGGGATATTCTGAGCTTCAACTCTCTCTTCTTGCTCTCTACCCCTTAGGATCGTGTCATGATCCCTAACATTTTATCTTATATCGACAACCATATCCTTGAGCTCTTCTAATAGCTCATCACGTCTATCCCTTTGCAGCTGAATCGGTTGAACTTCTGGCTCTAGTTCCTTCTTTATCACCTGTCTAGATACTGTGGTTCTTGCACGAGTGCCTCTCATACTGTACTATTTTCTCCCTTCCTAAGGATGAAAATGCGAAACACAAAGGGCATTAGGGAAAAAGTTGTGTAATGAATAAGATAATTTGCCATATTTCTAAATGAATGCATCAATAACAATCAGGTCTCAAAAATTGAGAGACTGATACCAAAATGTAACCTCCTCTCATATATCTACTTAATATAAGAGAAGATTATGGTGTTACCACTACCTTAACTCATCATAATCACACTCATATATCGAAATTTGACCCTTCTACGACCAATTTTCACAATTTATTAATTTCACAAACTATGCCATTTTTTAGCATAACATAGCCCACTTGGTTACTTCTCAACTCATACATATGCAATTCTATTCATAATATAATCTTAGCCCCCAAGTTACTCATTTCATCATAATTTTAGCTTTTGACTTAAGATTTATCCATCATAATCAAAATACAATCTTAGCTGCTAAATTACACATTTCCTCATAATTTGTCCTTTGGCTTAAGATTCACCAACACACAACCATTGCCTCCTAAATATACTCAAATCAAAGCCCCTTTGTCTCAAATAACACATATACACATAATTTGGGCTTGATTTTACAAAAACTCAATTCAATACATGCATGCAACCTATGGCAACTCATATACACTTATATATACAATATTTCGATTCGGTTTATTACACAACCTTAGAGTACATGGCTTCTTAACTCAAGCTGGTCCAAACTCTCTTCCCTTGGCCTGCTCACTTCCCAGTCCTGTAAACATGTAACCACGGGGGTGAGATAAAAATCTCAGTAATAGAATAACTCACTCCTATTTCCTATCACATGCAATAATATGAAAGTAAACATAGTATACCATTAAAACCTCATAAAGTAGTATTTACATCACATCACATTTCATATTTCACTTTTCATCAATCCCGAAGGATTCCATGCTATCTTAAGATATTTCATCATATTATAAAATACTAGTATGATCTCTACCAACCAATCCTCTAAATTACCCTGACATAAAACCATAGGCTCATTTGAGACCAATGTACACTCTCATTAGTCTTGAGCTCACCTGCAGTGGTAGAATCATCAGGCCAAAGATGTTCTAACGTACAATACAGACTATGGTTTTCCCCTAATACATACAATAGGGCGTCGTTGACTCCCACCCATATCACAAAGATACTAAGGAATCTCTCATCTCCAACACAGTATCTTAATAGGCACTCAAGAGATCTTCTCTAACATAGCACCTTTCAAGGCACTAAGGAGAATTATTTCCAACACTGTACCCTAACAGGGTACTAAGAAAACCTTGTTATATGGTCATTATCATCCCCTATACTCGGGTGAACTCCCACCACTTAGATCATGTTTTCTCGAGCCATTTAAAGTTCCCTTTTCACAATTTACTTTTTCTTATACATAACACACACACACACACACACACACACACACATATATATATCACTTTACATTACAAAACAAAATTTCAATGCTCATTTCAACCAAAATTCATTTTACACACACAATCACTCAATGCCACAAAACATGCTTAATTCAAAACTAGTTCATGCATTACATAGCATACTAGCATACAGTTACAATAAACAGTCAAACAAAAGAAGTTATTCAGTTACCTCAACCCTTCTGTCACTAGAAAGGTTACCCGTAGATTTTTACTATCGTACAAGCTTATCTCAAGCTTCCTTTCTCTACTCAATCGCCCAATATGCCAATTTGAACACATTTAGCACATTTTAGTCATTTAGCCTATTTTGACCAAAAACTCATTTGTACTATTTAGGGCTATATTCATCCATAAACTCTTTTTCATTTATCTATCTAAGTCCATAACTACCTAATTACTACTTTATATCACCTCAACCAGTCTTATTTCACTCAAGATAGATTTTGCTCTAACTTTCTCTCTCTAAAGACCCAAAATTGAGCCTCTGGGCTCAAAGCTCTACCGTTCAGCTCTAAACTAGTCACAAAGCTCTAATTTAACTTTCAATTACCTTTTTATTACTATTGGGAAAGAATTAAACCCCTCAAATTTCACCGATTCAATTTCCCTATAACTCATGTTCAGAGAAATTTGTGCAGAATGGAATGTAAGAGTTATACGTAGCTTACCTGGCAAGTTACCGATCTGAATCACCTTCCACCACTTTAAAATGACTTAACCTATCTTCTCAGCCCTTCTCCTCTCTATGTTTTGTGTGTTTCTCAAATTCTCTCCTCTAAAATTTTTTGAAATTCACGACTTATGAAGGTAAATTCTGGTCCATGTGCCGCGGCACACGAAGCACGAGCCGCGGCGCATGGCACAGTGAGACTTCTTCTCACCACGCCTACTTGCTTTGACCTGAAACACACTCCTATCACCCATATCTGTTCATACAACACATAAACTAGTCAAAATACTAATTAGTCCTCTGAATCTCTAATCCCACTTTAATTTCCACTTCACCCTTGATTTACCTCTAAACTTAGGATTAAGAAATTCAGGATGTTATATAGGGCAAGCAATTTCAGAGTAGTGGAAGGTGCTTCTAATTGATAACTTATCAGGTAAGCTACGTATAACTCTTACCATCTATTATACACAAATTTCTCTGAAAATGAGTTATAGGGAGATTGAATCGGTGGAATTTGAGGGGTTTGATTCTTACCTAATAGTAATAAAAAGGTTCTCAAAAGTTAAATTAGAGCTTTGTGACTAGTTTAAAGCTGAATAGTAGAGCTTTCAACTCATAGGCTCAATTTGACCTTAGAGAGAGTTGTAGGGAAAAATTTTAATTTTAGTAAAATAAGACTGGTTGAGGTGATATGAAGTAGTAATTGGGTAGTAATGGACTTATAATAGATAAATGGAAAAGAGTTTACGGATGAATATAGCCTTAAGTAATAAAAATGAGTTTTTGGTCAAAATGGACCAAATTACTAAAATGTGCCAAATGTGTTTAGATTGGCATATTGGACTTGTGAGTAGAGAAAGGAAGCTTGAGATAAGCTATTGCAATAATTGAAATCCATGGGTAACCTTTCTAGTGACAGAAAGGTTAAGATAACCGAATAACTTTCTTTGTTTGACTATTTATTGTAACTGTATGTTAGTATGCTATGTAGTGCATGAAATGGTTTTAAGCTGAGCATGTTTTATAGCATTATGTGATTATTGTGAGAAATGGCTTTTGGTTGAAATAAAGCATTAAAATGTATGATTTCAAATGGAATGTATTATATATATATATGCTATGTTTAAGAAATAAGTAAAATGGTAAATGGAAACCTTAAATGGTTTGGAAAGCATGATCATAGGGGTAGGAGTTCACCTAAGTAGAGGAGATGATAAAGACTATATGGCAAGGTTTCCTTAGTATCCAATAGGGTGTGGTGTTGGAAACAATTCTCCTTAGTATCTTGTAAGGTACGATGTTGGAGAAGATTTCCTTAGTGCCCATTGAGGTACAGTGTTGGAGATGAGAGACTTCTTAGTGTCTTTGTGATATGCTGTTAGAGTCAACAATGCCCCATTGTGTGTATTAGGGAAAACCATAGTCCGTATGTGGGTTAAGACATCTTTGGCCGAATGATTCTACCACTGTAGGTAAGCTCAAGGCCAATAAGAGTGTACATTAGTCTAAAGTGAGCTTATGGTTTCGTGTCGGGGTAATTTAGAGGTTTAATTGGTAGTGATCATGCTGTAATATGTTATATGATGCTATGTGTAATGTTCACCTTGACATTACCAAAATTCACCACACAATCACAACAAATAATCATAATTAGGAGTAAAGATTGCTCCTAAGCTCACATTATCTATATAAGGGTTAAAACTAATAATTTTTTAGAAATAATTTTGAAAAATTTAGGATCCCATAAAAACCCTTTAAATTTGTAGTTTGAGCTCAAACTTAATGATTTATAAAGGTATTGGAAGCATGGAAAAGTTTTGGGAAGCAAAACACTTCAAAACAGGGCCAAAAATGTCATTTTTGAGTATTTTGGTCCATGCGCTGCAACATGTGGCACAAAAAGGCAAGTTTGCTCACTGTATCGTGTGCCACGGCTTGAGCAAAATGAGCCGTGGCACATGTGTCCATGACAGTGCTGTCATGATAGCTTTTCTAGACGAACTTCAAACGCATGTCATTTTCGCATCTAATATTCGATTGGAGTAATTCAAGTGCCCACACAAAGCTTATTCAATAAGCTAACTAATAGTAAAGTTTTGTTACGATCTAACACCGTATGATAATTTTAGATACTCAGATGCAAAATTCAGTTTTTAAAGCGATTTTCAAGCATCCAAGTACCCAAAACTCAAAACTTATACTATTAACCTATTTTGAGGCTTGAACCAAGTCCAATGGACCAAAATACACTTGATTGGGCATTCATATACACAAAAACATATCAAATACAAAATTTGGCCACTTAATCCCCTTTTCACCCAATATGGCCAAAATACAAAATTAATACCATATATACTATTTGGCCTCTATTACCACATTATACACTACATATACATTGTCACCACATTGTCAAACATTCCTTGCACTTATATTAGTATTTTAGCCCATCACGACAAAAATTGCCACATATTCACATCATATATTATATTGGGCTAAAACACAAAATAACATAGTATGAAACAAGTGCAACCAATCAAAATGATATGCATTCCTAGTTGGCAACATATAATATCATCCATATAAGTTTATGTACACGACTCAAAATAAAATCAAGCTTTACAATGAGAATGTAGCAAGTATGCTAGCCCTTGCCCGATTCCTTCCCTTGCTCAATCTCAGTGGTAGAACCAGTAAAATGATAACCACGGGGTGAGATAAAAATCTCAGTAACTAAGATAATCTACATTATTGATTAACATGCCAAGTTATAAATAAGCCTTAAATCAAGTAAAATAAACACACAATATAAAATCACTGTAAGTTACATGCATGATCCCTAACCATCCGGTCCTCCAATACTCCCGACCAAATCGGTAGGCTATTTCACAGAACCAAACCACATGTATGGTCCCCAAGCTCACTATCCATGGTAAGATTACCCAACCAAGGTGTCCTAAACCACTTCTGAACTACTGGTTCCCCCTATTACAAGTAATTAGGGTGTCGTTACTCCAACACCGTATCCTACGGATGCTAAGGAACATATTCTCCAACTCTGCACCTTTTTAGGTACTAAGGAGAGTAAGTCTCCAACACCACACTCATTTTCGGGTACTAAGGAGAGTAAGTGCTGTACCTGGCATCCTGAGGTACTAGCAGTGCCATATGGACTTAATCTTCCCTACTCTACTAGGGTGACCTCCCACCCTATAATATGCCATATTTCACTACATATCTCCACTTGACCATGCATAAACAACTTTCTAAACAAATATAACAAATCTTACCATTTACTTCAAAAATATAGAATTTCACATACCAATACTTCACTCGTTTTCTAAATAGTTAAAATTTACAAAATGTATACATATATACACAACAAATCATAAAAAAGCAACTTGAGAATAACTTATATAAGGTAATAAATAATACAAATTATCTAGTTACCTCAATCCTTTTGTTACTAAAAGGGTTACCTGTGGTACTAAATCTCTTCTTGTGTCAAGGCAAATCTTCCCACACCATAATCTGCATCAACAAGTACTATATGTTAATTTTGAATTAACACAAGCACTATTAGCTACCAATAACCTCCCAATTCTCCTACTTCTCACTCATATTCTCAACAAAGAGGCTTGTTAAGATTACAATTTGCTCGCACAATCCCTTTAAGCCTTCCTCTAACTCTATCACAATATAACACTTAATATCTCAACTTATCACACTTCAAAACTCCATGATCAAGTTAAGGCTTGATCCAAATTTCACCAAACAATAAAGTAGCTTCATATTACCACATATCCAAGATTAATAAACTTAAATGAAACCTTTAGAGTCAATAAAAACCTTCAAAACATAGACTCATAGCTTAATCCATTCAGAGCAAATTCTCCCACTTTTAAATCCCATGGAAAATGAGATGAAAAGGTAGAGGAGAAAGGTAGGAAACCTACTTAAGAGTTTGAAGGCTTAAATTATCTTTAAAATTCTCCTAAAATGATGCCCTAGAAGTGGTTAAAGCTTGCCCCTTCGTGTTCGAGGTTTTTCACCACAAAAACTGTCATTTTCTAATGATTTTTGAAAATTTAAGTTGCCTGCTGTGCCGTGCGCTGCAATGCATGCCACACAAGCCACGGCTTACAACACAGTGAGTAAAATGTCAATTTTGCTCCCCTCGATGCCACCCGACTTGATCCAATGTCCATCCTAACTCAATTTAGAGCCAAATATGACCTAAAAAGCCAATTAGCAACCCAAAAATTAATTAATCATATTTTTTTAACTAATTTATTCCTTAATTAGTCAATTTTTCTAGATTTGAAGTTTTTGAATGTTACACTATGATGCTATGAGATGTTGTGGAATGATATATGTGAAAGTGATAAAAAGGAAATGGATATGTGTTATGTGATATAAATGTTATTTTAATGAGATTTGAATGGTATAATATGCTTTACTTCTATATTGTTGCATGTGATAGTCAATAGGAGTGAGTTATTTTGTTACTAAAATTTTTATCTCACTCCTATGGTTACACGTTTATAGGGCCGGGTAGTGATCAAGGCAAGGGAAGAAAGTCTAGACTGGCTTGAGTTGTGGAAGCTGTGTGACTCTAGAGTTTGTGTAATGAACTAAGAATTCTTGTGTTTATGTGTAAATGAGTTTCCATAGGATTGCAAGCATGAATTGAATAGAGATTTTGTGAAATCTAGCCTGATTGTGTGTATATGTATTGAATTAAAATAAGGGGGCTATGATTTGAATGTTTGTGATTGAATTGGTTGTTTGTGTGAGTGAATTTTAAGCCTAAGGGAGAAATTATAATGAAATGAGAAACTTGGAGCTAAGATTATATATTAAATGTGCTATCCATATGAATGTGTTGAGAAATGGCCAAGTGAGCCAAGTTCTACTAAGAGATGGCAAAGTTTGTGAAATTGTGAAAATGTGGAAATTGATCATAGAAGGGTCAAATTTTGATATAGGTGTATGATTGAGATAAATTATAGTTAGTTAGTTGTATTAGGTCCTTTTGAACTTGATTCAAGGCCTTCTATGGTCTAATGAGAAAAAGGGATCGATTTGAGTGCTTGGGTGCGCAATTTTTTTAGAAAAAGTGACTTTTTACACTTGGGTGTCTAAATTTTCATCAGACCATTAGATCGTGTCCAAACCTATCTCATTAGTTAGCTTATGAGTTAAACTATATATGGGCACTTAAATCACTCTAATTGAATGTCGTATATGAAAATGGACATGCCAAAAGTTTGTCATTTTTGCTATTAAAATGACAATAGAAAATTGGATAGGCATGCCACAGCACATGGTGTCACATGCTGCAGTGCATGACATAAAAAAGTTGAGCGTGTGGCTTTATGCCACATGTTGTGGCATACGTACTACACGTCACGATGCATGGACCAAATCCTAACCTTATTTTATGATGAAAATGCATGCAATTGAGATAGGAATGTTGGTGGGTTATATCCACTATGTATTAGAGTAATGTGCAAATTATTTCTATTGTGTTTTTCTTTGATGAATTATGATTTTGTGAAACGAGTCTTGGGCTCAAGCTTTTCAAATAAAACATTTGTTTACTGATTGTTTTGTGAATGATGTGGTAACACTGTAATCTTCTCCTATATTAAGTGGATATAAGAGGAGGTTATATTTTTGTATTAGTTTCTTGAGTTTTGAAACCTGATTATGATTGTTGCATTCATTTAGAGATATGGCAACTTATACTTGTTCATTACTTGACTCTTTCTCTGATATCCTTTGTGTTTCATATTTTCTTCCTTAGAAGGGGAGAAAATAGTACATTATGAGAGGCGCTCAAGCTAGAATGGTGGTGTCTAGATGGATTATAGAGGAGGAGCAAGAGCCAAAAGTCCAACCAGTTTAGCTGCAAAGAGATAGACATGATGTGCTACTAGAAGAGCTCAGGGATATGGTTGTTAACATAAGGCAGACTGTAAGTGATCATGACACGTTCCTAAGGGGTAAAGAGCAAGGAGAGAGAGTTGAAGCTCAAAATATCCCAATGCATGAGGAAGCACATAGTAGACTTAAATCGTCTCAAGGTTCGGGTAGCAGGCTAAAAATTCCTGGCACTAATCCATTTATTGATTGTGCTTGAAAGATATTTATTCAGTTCAACCTGCCAACATTTGATGGAAGTATGAGAAAGGGTAAAGTAGAATTGTGGATCGAGCGAATGGAAACTATATTTTAGGTGGTAATTTATACCTCAGAGCAAGAAGTTATTGTAACCTCCTTGATACTAAACCATAAAGTCTCCCTTACTAACCATGCTTGACTCTAAATCATGGCAACCTAAGGTTTAACCCTCAACGATTACCAAATTGTAAAGTTTTATAAAAGGAATTTCTGAAAATTCTTTCAAAGGAATCCCAATTTCAACAATTCAAATCTCAAACATTATTTAAATCAGAGTTTTGACAGTAAAGCGGAAGCTAAGAAATTAATTGGGACCCAAAATAATGAGTTTTAAACCTCAAAAATAGATTTTGTGTAAAAAGTGTCACGCATGCCGTGGCTTACGGCATGTGTGCCATGGCGCATTACACAAAATTTGATAGCATCAGTGCTATCATTTGAGAGCATGGGAAGCAAACTTCCAATGCATCCCAAATCTCCATCCAATATCCAATTAAGGTGGTTTTGGTGTCTACACGAAGCTTTCTCCTATCTCAAGCTAATGGTAATAGTTTCATACTCAAACTCATTTTCTATAAAAAGTTGGACACCAAAATCTATTATGACCACTTTTTCACAAAATTTCAAAAATGGAGTGTCTCAACTCAATCACACGTGCCAATAGCTCACATTAACCATCCGACCGCACTCAATGGACTCTTGCAGACTCGTGCAACGCATCACACACAATTAAAAACACTTATCTCATAAAATCACCACTCAACCCCGATTTTCACAAAATATAAAGGGGAAGGAAATGTTGCACAAAACCATCAATTTCATTTCAAATTTCTCAAAACACATATGTTCCTACTTGCACAAGTATTTTGGCCCTATCCATAGGTTCACAACCAAAACTTACTAACCCAGGGCATAAAATACACTAGTTAGACACAAATCATGCAAGTAGTGCATAAATCATGTCAAATAATTCTAGTTGGAAATTACCTTAATAAATGCACATGAAAGCAATAAAAGAGAGGCATATAGAGGATTACTCCACAATCTTAAGCCTTTGTATGTTTTCCCCAACTCGAATCCGATGAACTAGGTCCTGAAAATATTGAGAATTGAGGGGTGAGAAAAATCACTCAGTAACCGAGTTTTACTTAACCCATATAGTTGCATATTAATTATAAATAGATACAATTAGGCAAATAAGCAAAGATAACACATAACACTCGGCCACAGTTCATAAAACTAACAACCATGTGATTGGGCTTGCCGTAAAACACTTTATCATATTATTTTGCAAAACATAACACAGGGTTGTAAAAATAACAACCATACACTCTTAAGGAGCTACCGAGCCAAGGTAAAGTCACTCACTTATGTAATTCGGTTTCCTCCAATACTAGCAACCATAGGGTGTGGTACCCCTAATCTAGCCTCCTCATGAACCGATGAAGACTAGTTTGGTTCAAGTCCCTCATAAAATAAGTAGGACAGTCCCAAATTAACCATGGGACAAGGACAACCCCTCGATTCCAACGGTTGGTGCTAAGGCTAGTTGCCGATTCTAACGATCACTACCAATACTATGTGGATTTTCAACCAATCTACTTCTCTCCCTAGGCAAACTCTTGCCAATGATCATGCTATGCACATTTCTCACATAATATGCACTTTAATAATCAATTCATAATACATGAAGTCACATGACTCAAATATTTCACAATTCAACACATAATTCATCACAATTCTCCACCTACAGTAATAAATCACAATCAATTTTGTAAAACAACAAGGGTGGCATAATTAAGGATTTCTTTCCAAAAGCCATTTCACAAATCTAATACTTTGCCAATATGCATCATTAATTTAATTCATAATTCACATTTCACAAACACAGTTAACATTCAACTATAAAGACTAAGTTTTCCTCGGTTACCTTAAACCTTTAAGAGGTCAAAGGTTTACCTCTCACTATACAAACTTTCTAAAGTTTTAATAAGCTCTAATGGTGCCAAAAATGAACTTCACTATATCCATACCACAAGAATTTCATCATTGTTTAACTCTTGAAGCTTTGTCAATATAACTTCATATACTCTATTTTTACCAACTCATAATCACTACCCATTCATACCCAATGGGCTTATTAAGTTCTATTAATGCATCTTATCATTAATAACACCTCAAACCATTATTAATGTACATAAACCTCTCCTAACTACCTCATAAATATCAATTTTTGGATAATAAATTCTCCTATGGACCAACCACTTCCAAAATCATTGATATAGTATTCCAATATCTTAAACAACTTCTATTATACTTATTTTAACCAATGGAATCAGACCCATACTCCTGTGGATCAAAAATCCATCTTCCAACTCAAACCCTACCATAAATCATCATAAATGAGGGAGAGAAACAAAGAATGAGGCACCATAAACTTACCTTAGGTCTTTGGGAGCTTCAAAATGCCAACAATGAAAGCCAAGGCTGTGCCCTAGCATGTTGGATTGGGAGGCACAGTGGAAGATTAAAATTTTAAAGTCCTTATCTTGATATGGATCGAATGAGCTCGTTTAAGTCAAGGTGGATAGAAGAGTTACCTTTTAATTCTTTAAACAATGGCGCACATTCTCTTCAAGAGTTTAGATCTCAGGAGCTGATAACGTAGATCTGCTTCCTTTACTGACATCCACACGAACAACTCTCTAACTCGAATAGTGTGCTAGCACTCCAAGCGTCTGTTCTTCTTTAAATGTTATTTTTCCTTTCTATAGGGTGTTTCGTGACTCTCAAAGTGTTTTTGCCATCAGAACTTTTCTAACTCTCTCATCCTTCATAAAGAATGTCCCTATCTATATATGGTATATAGATAAGGGTTTTCATCTTCCACTTAAAAGGCCCACGAAAATATAATTAAATTTATCTCATAAATTTAACCATGATATCACATCTAATTTAAATTTATCTTATAAATTCAAATTATCAAACTGACATGATATTCTCTCATATCATGTTAGTTATTAAATTTAATCTATCATATAAAATTAAATTTAAAACTAACATAATATAATATAATATAATATATATCACATATACATATTATATTATATATATACAAATATATATATACATATTATTATATATATTTAATTTTATATATCATATATATATGTCTAATATATATACACACACGTACATATGAATATCTATATATATATATTTATTTCAAATATATATATATATATAAAATTATATTTTATATTTTATATTTTATATAAATATATATAAATATTTATCAAATAAATATTCAAATATATATATATATATATAAAATTCATTTACCCTATATTACATTCATTAAATCTAGACATATTCCATATTCAATGAACTTAGACATTTTAGTTCGAGTTGGGTTGTTCTTGTGTGTAACCCTGTAGGCCTATATGAAATTGGCAATAGGCTAATTAAGCTATTGGCCCATAAGTCACAAGTGGCATCTAGCAAGACATTGCAATTACTTAATTCACATGGGGATCGATGATCCGATGTAACCTATCATGTAACCGTATCGCATCCCTTTCGTCACGTGATGTTTCGGTCAAGTATGAGACATGAAATTGTCATTCTCCTTTACTTGACCGTTACTTTCTCGATCTCTAAGTAAACTGACAGTAGCAATGGAAAAACCCTTTCTATTGTAGTATAGCCATACATTTTCTCAATCTTACTTATCGAGGGGCTTAGTAATATCTCTCACTTAATGTGAGGGACAAATTTCATCTTAACTACTCATATTCCTCTATATAAATATCACTAAACTCAATCACAGCTTTTATGATCACCTGGTCAAATGTGACCTTTCACTAGGTCAAAGTTCAGTGGTCATCATGTAGGAATCCATGATGATCTCAGGTCAAAGGGCTTAGTGATATAGTTACATATGAGATAAGCTTATGACTTGTACCATGCAGCTTTCTCATAGCAGGTCAGTCCAGCACCTTGAACTCTTTCAAGTTCCTATGACTTTGATTTGCATCTCTATAATTAATCAAAGTCATACTAGTCTTGTTCCATCTATGATCCCTCATAGATGACTGACTAGGGACATTTAGGACAATTAGTATAGTTTGTCCAAGGATACAGTTATCATATTGAATATGCAATTGTTATGATAACAAAAGAGAAATTCATTAAATAATAATGTGCATAGTATAATGATTGGCCTTAGGGCACAATTTCCAACACTAACAGAGGTTAAGTTGAGCTCTTCATTTTCCTCTTCTCCTTTTCTTATGTTTTCGCATGCAGAACGTAACTGATATATCATAATTTTAGCTATGGTACATGGTACATATGAGATAAGCTTATGACTTGTACCATGCAGCTTTCTCATAGCAGGTCAGTCCAGCACCTTGAACTCTTTCAAGTTCCTATGACTTTGATTTGCATCTCTATAATTAATCAAAGTCATACTAGTCTTGTTCCATCTATGATCCCTCATAGATGACTGACTAGGGACATTTAGGACAATTAGTATAGTTTGTCCAAGGATACAGTTATCATATTGAATATGCAATTGTTATGATAACAAAAGAGAAATTCATTAAATAATAATGTGCATAGTATAATGATTGGCCTTAGGGCACAATTTCCAACACTAACAGAGGTTAAGTTGAGCTCTTCATTTTCCTCTTCTCCTTTTCTTATGTTTTCGCATGCAGAACGTAACTGATATATCATAATTTTAGCTATGGTACATGGCACAAAAGAGCTCGTTATTCAAATTTGTCTCTGTGCACCACTGCAGACCAACCATGCACTGCGGTGTGTGGCACAGAGAATAATTCTTCACTTTTTCTTCCTTTTTCCTTACCCGAGTGGCCTGCCATCGATCCAGACCCACTTTTAGGGCTAAAATCACAACAATTATGCCAAGTTAAGCCCCTCTGGCCACACACCTCATTAACTCGCTAATTACCCTCATTAGGTTAATAAACCAGGGTTAAATTTTCCCAGATGTTACAACTCTCCTCTCCTTTTAAGAATTTTATCCTCAAAATTCAGTAAATCATGTAAATCTTACCTTACTAGAAAGGATGGGGATACTGTTGCCTCATTTTCTCCTCCATTTCCTAAGTGGCATCTCCGGGAGTTATTCCCTTCCATATTCATTTCACTAAGCAGATAGTTTTATTTCTTAACTGCTTATCTTTCACATCAGCTATCCTTTCCGGCTTAATTCGGTAGGTTAAGTTCTCCCGTAGCTCTACTTCTTCTGGTTCGATAATGTTAGACGGATCAGGTTGGTACTTCTTGAGTTGTGAGACATGAAACACGTCATGTACACCTGATAAATATGGGTGTAATGTAATTCAATACGCCAAAGGCCTAATTCTCTTTAGAATCTCAAATAGACTAATATATCTAGGAGTCAACTTCTTGGCTCGGATAGACCTCCCAATACTAATCATAAGTGATACCTTCAAAAATACATGGTCTCCAACCATAAACTCTAGCAGTCTCTTTCTCTTATCCGCATAACTCTTATGCCCAATCTGGGCAGTCAACAACTTCTGTCGAATTACTTCTATCTTCTCTATGGTTTGATCCACTAAATCCGGACCCAAAATACTCCTCTCACTTAATTCAATCCAGCAAAGAGGCGATCGACACTTCTGACTATATAAAGCTTCATTTGGAGCCATTTGAATACTTGCATGAAAGCTATTATTATAGAAAAACTTCACAAGTGGTAATGTTTATCCCAACTTCTACTAAACTTAATAGTACACGCTCGCAACATATCCTCGAGAGTTTGAATCGTCCTTTCAGTTTGACTATCAATCTGGGGGTGATAGGCCATACTAAACTTCAACTTAGTACCTATAGCTTGGTGTAAAGCTCTCTAGAAGTTCGATGTGAACCTCGAATCACGATCTGACATAATCTCTTTTGGTACCCTATGCAACCGTACTATCTCTTGAACATAAACCTCAACAAATCTCTCTAAGGTATAGTCTGCTCTAATGGCTAGAAAATGAGCTGACTTAGTTAGTCTATCCACAATCACCGATATAGCATCATGACTTACCTGAGTATGTGGCAATCCCATTATGAAGTCTATAAACACATTGTCCCATTTTCACATTAGGATTTCTAAAGGTTGTAACAACCCAGGTGGCTTCTGGTGTTCTATCTTGACTTTCTAACATGTCAAACACTAAGAAACGAACTCAGTCACATCTCGCTTTATTTCGTGTCACCACCACTACTTTTTCAAATCTTAGTACATCTTAGTGGCACCAGGGTGGATTGTTAGCTTACTCTTGTGAGCTTTTGATAAAATGATCTCTCTAATATCCTTATCATCAGGAACACACATACAATCACGATACAACATGAAACCATCATCACTGAAGCTAAAGGCTGTTGTTTGGTTCTCCTCAATGTCCACCCTAATTTCTAACAAGTACTCATCTTCTAATTATGCTTTTCTCAGCTCCTTTCATAACTCACTTGTAATCACTGTGACATTCATGTTGTATGACGTGAAATTAGGAACATTTTTGTGCTTATTAGAGAAATCCTCTAGTATCTTGTGCTCTTGCCTTATCATGAATGCTATATGTAGTGTCTTCCGACTCAACGCATCAGTTACTACATTAGCCTTACTAGGATGGTACTTTAACTCAAAATTGTAGTCCTTCAAGAACTCTATCCATCTCTACTTCCTCGTATTCAACTCTTTCTAATCAACTAGATACTTGAGACTTTTGTAGTCACTGTATACCTCAAATTGTGCACTGTGTAAGTAATGTCTCTATATTTTAAGCGCAAACACCACTGCCGCAAGCTCAAGATCGTGGGTAGGATAGTTCTCATAGTGTGGTCTTAATTATCTTGAAGCATATGCCACAACTCTATCATCTTGCATTAGGACACATCTAAGACCCTTAAGTGAAGTGTCTACATACACCACAAATGGCCATTTTGGATCTAGAATAGTCAACATAGGTGCATTCGTCAATATCTGCTTTAGCTCTTGGAAATCCTCTTCACACTTGTCGATCCATATAAAAGGCTGATCTTTCTCAATCAATTTGGTCAAAGCAAATGCAATCTAGGAAAATCCCTGAATAAACCTTCTATAATATCTTGCTAGACCAAATAAACTTTGGATCTCTGTCACAGAAGTTAGTCTTTCCTATTGTAGTACTACATCCACCTTATGGGAATCAATTGCAATACCATTTGCTAACACTACATGGCCTAAAAACTTCACCTCATGCAACCAGAATTCACATTTGCTCAACTTTGTATAAAGCTTCTTCTCTTTCAGAATTTGCAACACAATTCACAGGTGCTTAGCATGTTCTTCCTCATCAACCGAATATATTAAGATATCATCATTGAAGACCACTACAAACTTGTCCAAGTAAGGCCTAAAGATTCGGTTTATGTAATCCATAAAGATTATGGGTGTGTTCATAAGTTTGAAGGGCATAACAAGAAACTCATAGTGCTCGTATCTCGTTTTGAAAGCAGTCTTCGGCACATCATCCATTTTCACTCTCAATTGGTGATAGCCAAATCTCAAGTCAATCTTAGAGAATACCGCCACTCTAGCCAACTGATCCAACAAGTCATCAATTTAAGGTAACAGATACTTATTCTTAATTGTCACCTTATTCAACTGTCGGTAGTCTATACACAATCTCATGCTAGCATCTTTCTTCCTAACAAACAAAATAGGTGATCCCTAAGGTGAAACGTTAGGTCTAATCAACCCCTTCTCCAATAACTCCTCTAGCTGCCTCTTAAGCTCATTCAATTCTATTGGAGCCATTCGATACAAAGCCTTAGAGATTAGCTCGGTGCCAGTACCAAATCAATTGAGAACTCAATCTCTCTCTGGTGGCAATCCTGACACTTCATCTGCAAACACCTTAGGAAACTCATTAATAACTCCAATCTTGTCTAATGCTCCATCATAC